ATTTTCTTCCATTATTTAGGAAAGAGTAGGAACTCCACTGAAGTCTCTCTGTGCTGTTACAGACTTAGAGGTTACATTACTTTGTTGTAAGCTTTGGTGTTTGCTTTAATTAGCCATAAGGATGGTGGGATTCAGATTCTTTCGATTTAGACTTGGAAACTGATAGCAGTAGTAACATCCTTGCATAGAAGATACACAGTTTTAAATGTTGGCTATTTAGACGGTTGTTTGGTTGTTATTTAAAAGTAAAGTTCCTTTATAGTCCTGTCCCATCAGTAAAATAGAAAGATCTGTAGGAATCATTGGTTCTTTTTCATTCTGTATTCCCTTATGGGCAGGAGCCAGTAGATCAGTTCTGGCTTCAAAGGAAGTATTTCTAGAAGAATGGAGATATTGTTTCTAAATTTCAGCATCAAATTTGGGCAACTCTGTTAGTGTAACTCACTCACCAGGTGATGAGAGAGTTTCATTGATAAAATCCAGCCACTTAGGTAAATTCAGAATGGGCTGAGCTGCCCGCCTGTTTATACTGGTGCACAAAGACTGACTGCTTCAAGGAGACAGCCCACTTCACTCCTGTAAACAGGATGGGTTAGCCCTCACGTACAATGTGATTATTTTCAAAGCTGTTTTATATCTTAATTAAGAGTGCCTTACTAAAGCATAGATTTATTTCTTAAAAGTGTGGGTAATAGGAATTTTAAAAGATTTATATAATGCTTCAAAAAGTCTTTAGAATACTCTAAGAAGAGGGTTTTTTTAAACTGGTTTATCTGTATATCTGAAGTCTTGAAACTTTCTTATAGCTGAAACACTAGGATTTATCTGCAGGGTCGCAGAGGGATGATCCTACCTTAAATAGGCTAACACAAAAACAAAACCTGCCAACCCATGTCATACTTGAGATTAAAGTCAACCCCCCCGCCATTTCTTTCTCCTCTTTTCTCTTGCTGCCCACATAATGCCTTTATTTTATGAGCCCCAGTTTGCTGGGCTTTGTCAAAAACAATTCAGTTCTGAACTTAGGAAGCTTTTGTTCTTGGATAAAACATCATATTTTTTTCTAAAACTCTGTTCATCCGGGAAAATAAATTGAACTCATGCCACCGAGCTTCCATTTTCTCTGACGTTTTTGGTTCAGTACTTTTTAATCATAAAACACGAAATTTCATAAAGTCACATTTAAAATTGACCAATGTATATTTAAAACCAATAAACTTTTAATTAATAACAAATTATGTGGTGTGTCCCTATGACAAATATGTCTTTAAGATAGACTGTTCACCCAGGTCCATGGTGAAACCCACAGAGTGGTGTGGAATGCCACGGAAAAATTCGCCAGTGCCCTGATGTTGTTTTTCTGTTGTATTTTGGAAGACAGTTTTTTTCTTTAAGCATTTTCTTCAGATTAAAAGAAGATGCTGTTATGATTAGCAATGCCTGAAAAACTGGGACCAAGCAAAGTGTGTCAACCCTATTTCCTTAGAAGAGGACAGCCTCCCAAATGCTTGTCCCAAAGGTCATATCCCAGACAGACAATAAAGAACAAAACAGACAGCAAAGGTCCTCTAATCAAATGTACTGTCTAGATCATTCATAAGGATTATAGTTCCCTTAACACAACTGTTAATCCAAAAGAGTGCAGAACACTCTTCAAGAATTTTGATAACTATATAGAATTATGGTTTTAATAGCATAGAGAATGTCTCGACAAACTCAAGGTGTGGCATTGAAGCCTTGCCGCAACTCTTATTTTATTTATTAGCTTTAGCATTCTCTGCTTCGTCTCTCTCCTCTTTTGACTTCTTCAAGCAGCCATCATGACATTTACCATGAATTTACTTCCTCCCAAGAATTTGGACTGCCCGTCAGATTGTTGCTGCACACAATTGCCTTTGTGTCTCCGTATAAAATAAAAGGTCATTTGTTCATGTTTGTGTTTATTTTTCTCAGTTTCATTGTTAGTAGTTCCTGCTAAACAGAATGTTGACTAGAGCAAGATTTAATAATTAAAAACCACAACAGAAAACAATCCCTTCCTTTATAGCCTTTTAAAGGAGCAGACACAAGTCTGCTGTCAAGTCACAGAAGGTCTAAGAGTGATTTTTAATGTGTGAGTTTAGCCTCAACATTAAAAAGGAAGGAGAAGGGAGGCAAACATAATGCCACTCAATTCAAATTGGCCAGTGGCTGCAGGTGTAAATGACAACAGCATGTAACATTCTATCAACAGCTCTACAGGACAGCATGTAACATTTTATCAACAGCTCTACAGCACAAACAAGGTCCTAGCATACCCTTTAGGAGGCTTCTAGTCTGTGTTCCGTGCAAGTCCCCAGAAAAGACTAGGGTAAGTTGGATATGGACAAAGTCAACAGTAGCAGGAAAAATAGAACTTCCCCATCATCCATAAAAATGCAAATATGCATATATATACCCTGTTGTGTTTGTAAACTGGCCCTACAGAATAGGTAAACCAGTGACAACGTGGAATGAGGGGGAGATGGAGCAACTCTATAAAGTATACAGAAGTGTGAAACGAGATGGTTTGTGTGAGTGACTGGAGGTGACCCCGTGCCCCTCTGAGAAGAGGTGGTGTGGTAAGAACACAGCTTTCCTGTCAAGGGAACCGTGGTGAAATTAATGGTCTGCACTTCTTTTCTTTTCTTTTCTTTCTTTCTTTTTTTCTTTTTTTTTGGTTTTTGCCATAGAGCACTTGTGCTTGTTGGATCGAGACAGAGAGAGAGAGATCATTGTCTAATGGGGATGGCCACACTGCAGTCCCTTCTCCATTCTTCTGGTATTTGGAACGTGCACACACACACACCCAGCATGATAAGCTCCCAGGTCCAGGACTCGAACTGTGGTAGGCCATGTGGGAGTCTAGCACCTTAACCACCATGCTAGCTGCTGGCCCCTGCGCTTGCTTTCTTACTCTGAAATGGAAATGATGTTCTCTGGTAGGTTAGTTATAACTTACAGTAGAACATATGTGCATAGAGGGGAAGAGAGGTGTCCTCTACAGGGCCTGGTCACTTAATGATCCCCTTCCTCCAAAACTCCAGCTCTCGAGGATCCTGTGTACATGTGTGCACCTGTTGTGTTTTTAGGCCAACTGGGCTGAGGATTCAAACTATGGTTGTCATGTGGCTTCCAGTGCCACAGTCCTGTACGCTACCTGCTGAGCTACAGAGGCTGGGCCCTGAAACTTTTTTTTTTTTAAGGAATTATTTTATTTAACTTTATTTATTTTAATTTGACCAGAGAGGGACAGAGTGACAGCGAGAGAGACAGAAAGCAAGCCGCTGGGTCCAGGACCCAAACCACGGTCAGCCATGTGGGAGTTCAGCATCATTAACCACCACACCACCTGCTGGTCCCCCCGAAACATACTTTAACAACTTATGTTCTGCAAAGAAATCAAGGTAGGTGCTTATCAAGGTATAATGTTAGTAAATAAAACAAGGGCCAGGTTTGTGGCATTGTGGTTAAGGCAGCTGGATCGCACATGCCTGACCTCATGATTCAAGTCCTGGACCCATCAGCCAAAGAAATCCACCAGGCCCATGTGTTTGCATGCCCAAAATTCTGGAAGTAATGGAAAATGGAGGAGAAGGGATTGCACTATGACTGTGCCTTATGGTAGTGTGTTCTCCCTCCTCCTCTGTTTCTCTAGCAAGTGCATGCACCCTCTAGCAAACTGGTTTTTTAAAAGAGCAAAGGGGGACCAGGAGATGGTGTAATGGTTACTTCGCTAGACTCCCACATAGTCAACGGGGGTTTCAGTCCTGGACCTGGCGGCTTAAAACAGGTGCATGTGTATGCATGCCCAAAATCCCAAGAGGAGAATGGAGGGAGGAGAAGGAATTGTGGCATGGCTATCCCCCCTGGGCGGTGGTTTCTCACTTTCTGGCTCTCTCTGGCGAGCACACATGCCCTATAGCAAAAAAATCTCTCTTAAAAAAAAAAAAAAAAAAAAAAGGAAGAAAACCTCTCAAAAAATAAAAAAAAAGGAAAAAGCAAAGGGAAAATCAGAGTAGGAAAGTGAAATGGAACCTGGAGTGACGCTAGCAGACGAAAATGAATGCCATGACATCCCAGCTCTGGCTGGTGGCATAGCTGCCCCAGAAAGGAGCTGCACCCATCACAGCAAAGCTGGCCACAATTTTTTGCGTATGTAACCTTGACAGGAATTTGGGGAAATTTATGCTTCCCTCCACACATTTTAAGTTCGACAGTTGTTTTTGAAAAGTTTATAATTGTAAACGGTAGAATTGCCAACGTGTATTTCAAGACAAAAAGAATAACCTCATAAAAGTATCAGGTGGAGGGACCAGCAGATGTTGTAATGGTTGTTGCTAGACTCCCACATGGTTAACCACGGTTCAAGTCCCAGACCCAGCAGCTTGAAATTCACTCAGAGAGCATGTGTGTGTGTGTGTGCCCAAAACCCTGAGAGGGAAATGAAGGAGAAGGGGTTGCAGTGTGGGTCATCCTCCTGGGAGGTGATTTCTTGCTTTTTGTCTCTGGCGAGCACACGAACCCTGTAAACGAAAATCTCTTAAAAACAAGTATCAGGTGAAAGTCACTTTTTTTTTTTTTTTTTTTTTTTTGTGGGGGAGAGGTCTAACTTGGTTTATTAAGACATTGAAATTTTGTCAT